GAAAAAGCAAAAAGGTGCAGAAAATGCTGTTTAGTAAAAAGCAGTACTATAAGAAGTGGAGGAAGAATTCCACTAACTAACTAAGCCATGGAAATAAAATATTCTGCCAGAGAAGGTTAAGAAAAACGTCCCTGCATTGAGCTGATGGTATGATGTCCCGCATCAGAAGTTCAAAAATATAATATTGGCCTTCAAAATCTCTCCTTCTATATATAGAAGAATCATAGGCCTAACTGGCAATCTTAAAAGCTAATTTGGATTGATCCTCATGTGAGGTAATTCTATTACCATTAGTGATGTCAATATTTGACACGATCCAAAAATTCGACCCAAAAATTTTGGGTTATGGTCAAACAGTTTCGCAAATTGGTTGGGTTCGGGTTCCCGGATTCGACCTGTTTGGAAAAAAACAAGCCGGGTTCAAGTTCACCCGAAACCCAAACTCAATCGAGGTTAACCAGGGGAAAACGTTGTCCCGTTCGCGCTTTCGAGACATGTGATGACGATGTCTCATCGTTTTCCATCATCAGCCCACCATCTCATTTGCACTAACGCTAGCATGCCTGGTCGGCGTCTCGTCGAGTGTCATCAGGTTGGACATCGCCTCGTCGTCTCGCGCACTGGTAAGTCGTCCAACGCCTCCTTCGACGATGTTCCATCCGGTCGGAAGTTACGATACATCAGCGCCTAAGCTTGTCGTTCGGTTACAATGCCCGAAATCGTGCCATGCCACTGCTGTCGCCGAGCTCACCATGCCGCTGATGCCTCACCCCGCCTGCACCGTAGCCTGCGGCCTTATGTCCCCTTTTTTGAATCAAAATGTGTTCGCTGGTCGGGTCAACCAGTAATTTGCATAGATCTGGTCCGGGTTGTAATAACTCACCCATTTGCAAAAAAAAAAGGGTCGGGTTCAAGTTAGGTCAAGTAGTTTGGGGTCAGTTCCGAATTTGACCCGAACCTAACCCGTGATCCAATTTTGACAGCCCTAATTCCTATGCTCCAAGAAGAAAACTCTTTCTCTTTTACAAATTCCCGCATCTTCTTCATTAGCAAATTCTCTGTAATTCAACAGTTTGCATAACCATTAGCTAATTCTCTATAACTCAACAATCCAAATGACTAAAGATTATCCTTAATTAACGATAGAAGAAGGCCAGTCACAAGAAAACTTGTGAACTCTTAATTTAATGGACCATCAATACATACAATATGTAGAGATAAAATCGTTCTTTTATCAGAAAGACAATCGATATTCAACATGTTTGAATTTATGATGTTTGTTGAGAGCCATCTTCTAAAGGAAGTAAACAAAGTTCCTTATAGAAAATTTCATAGACAATTCTTTTACTGCATAACAGTTTTTTGGCCATAATATTTACCTTCAACACATATTGACATTTTATTTCATGTTAAAATTCAAAGCAAAATTTATGTAGTTTAGATGTGAGGAGATAAAGGAACAATAAATTTTCCTTTAAATAGCCATCGTTGTTGTCGTGGTCGTCATTATTGATAGATTTATAGTCAGTGTTCCATCGCCCTTATAGTCGTCATCATCATCATCATCATAACCACTGGCTAGTGGAGGCACGACCCCCTACTAGCCAAATAATTATTTTTTATATATTTGATAGTTAAATAAACAAGCTGCTGCAGCTTTTTTTTTTTTTCTAGTTTTGAAGCTGCAATTTCTAAGTTATTGCCATAATTTTTTAAGGATATATTTTATAATATTAATGAAGTGCATCCATGATGATATTTATTTATTTATTAGTAGTTTTTTTTAATAGCAAGATATTAGATTTACTTATGAAATACATTCTAATCAAAGTTGACGAGACTACCAAACACGGCAAATTGTTGTTGTTGATTGTGTTCGTTTTTTTTTTTTTTTTTTTTTGCACCATGGGTGAAAATATAATAATAACACTACAAATAAGGGTCCTAAGTCCGGATGAAAAAATTTAGGTGTATTTTTAAAATCAAGAAATTGTGCCCACCAAAAAAAATTTCTAACTCTTACACTAATCACAGTATCCATCATAACTAATCAATCTTTATTGCTCTCGCAGCCTTCGTCGCTATTGCAACCTATATCATAAAAAAATGAGGGTAGATATGATTGATTTTCATGTAAGAGTTCAAGAAAATAAAAAGAAATGAGATGAGATATACCGTTTACACAAGTCAATTACGTGATTATTTATGGTTGCAAGATCACGAGTTTTGGTGGATTAGCACAATAGTAACGTAGGTCTTGTTTGGGACAGCTTTTTTCTGCTTTTACATTTTCTTTTTAATTTTGCACTAAAAAATTATTCTATAAAGCAACAGAAAAGTTGTCCCAAACGAAACTGTAGCCTCAAATACTTATAATTAATGATTAATCCCAATTCTCGGTTGCAATTGAGATTTTTGCTCGATAATATTCCTATAGTAAAAAAATCAACACTTCCTTAATAAAAATGATAAATTTGTTGGTAAAAATATAAACCCAATCAATCAAGCATCTTAATTTCATTACTAATTTGCACAAATTACTGCCCTGGACTTAAAAAAAAAAAAAATTACATAATACACTTTGTCTATCAAGGCATTCAATGTTGCCTTTGAGAGGTTCATTTCAATTTGAAAATTCAGTACATAAGTTGCAATCACTTGACCAGTGATATATACTCGCATTAATCATATTTATTGTATCATTGATGAGATTGTAGTTATCCATCAAATTTCGTTAGATCATTGAATAAATGTGATTCCATTCTGTACAGCCACGCAACACAACAATATGCAAATCTATTGACATCAATCATTCACCATTTGCTAGCTCTCATTATCTCATTTATTTTGCTTTTCCTCTAAAAACTAATTTAGAGTAAGCACAGTTGATTAATAGAAGTTAAATTAGAAGAAAAAGAAGTTCCGATTATCTTAATTGTGAATGTCATTTCACTTAACAAAGAAGCAAATTATTATTATTGGGAGATTTAGGCTTCGTTTGGGACGGCTTTTTTATTGCTTTCTAAAACGGAGTTTTACTATAAAAATAAAAAAAAAATTATACTAAAACTCCGTTTAATAAAAAAGCCGTCCCAAACGAAGCCTTAGAATCTATTTGGAACCTCTGCAATATTTTATAAAATTGATTGTGAAGTTGCTATGAAGAAAATAATTCAGCTATTCTGGTTGTAAAAATTAGCTTTTCATTATAAATTTTTTTTTTTGAGTAGTGAGAAAGTAGCAATAAAACGGTAGTTTAAGGCTTCATTTGGGATGATTTTGTCACTGCTTTCTGAAGCGGCTTCTTAGTAAAAAATTTTCTAATTTATGAAATTTTTATACTAAAAAGTTACTTTTGAAAGCAATAAAAAAGCCATCTCAAATGAAGCCTAAATGAAATTATGATTGCTACCATAAAAACACAACAACAAGAAAGCAATCCTACATAGACCCTTACATATCACACAATTCTTATATATTTACATATGTAACACATAAAATTTGATATTTATTTATATATATATAGCATCCAAAATTTTAGATTACAAAAATAATGCTACTAATATTACTTTTGATAAAGTGAAATGCATCTTTCAATGCATATATTTTAGTATGTTTGAGACATTAAATATATAAGGATTATGTGATATGGATGAAAATCCCCCTATTTTTTAGGTGAAATTTCAAAGAAAAAAAACGCTTCTACTAATAGCAGATGAAATTTATGAAGGAAAATTCATTAGAGAAATCATTGAAATAAAGTATATGAAAGACCAAGATCCTTCAAGTAATATATATCGGCGACCGATGCAAAGAAAAACCGAATGAAACTAATGAAGATGGTCAGAAAGATCCTTCCCAAGAAGGCTGAGGCATTGCGAGCTTGAGATGGTCAATAAGGGTACGTGATTGTACGCACGTAGTTTTTGGTGTCTTTAAATTTGTTGCAATGAAATTATCCTTTTGGTAATACTATTATATCATTTGGAGCGCCTCAAGTTTTTGAATCAACATCGCAAGTGATATTGATAGCATAATTAACCAATATCTTTTAACTGCTTGATAGATAAAATAAATTTTTTTACCATACCAACAAGCCTCGACGTTACATTAGAGACTAGCAAAGTAGCCATTTGTATATATTATATGTACTCTCCCAATTTTCAAACAAATAAATAAGCTTTTTATATATTTAACATATAGCGTCACTTAAGGGTATTTTTATTGCCTCAGGTTACCTGATGTAGAGATACATCAGATAGCCTATAATATATCGCCACATGCTCTTACTCTTTACCGCGCAGCCTGACGACCCAACCCGGAACGAATCCGGGATTACTATGTTCGCGTATTGCTAGGTACTACTCGGTATTTGCTCGGTATTGCTTGGTATTTGCTCAGTATTACTCGGTATTTGCTCGGTATTACTCGGTATTTGCTCAGTATTGCTCGGTATTTGCGGCGTTTCGTCTAAGGATGCTGGATTGATGTAGACCTTGGCTCATCATCGTCCATCACAACGCCTCAGAAAAACCCCCTCCATGAAATCCTGGTTGTCATAAGACCGTCCAAGGATGGTAGATTGATGTAGACCTTGGCTCATCATCGTCCCAAAAATCCAAAAATTCCAGCACGAACAAATAGGCTGAAGTGAGCTCTCACAAGAGGAATTCAGTGGGATACGAACAGATAGTAAAATTTAATTGCATATTTTTTATATCTAAATAGAATAATTTTGAATACTCTATATAAATCTCCTTTCAAATTATTTTCTATAAACACCATCACAAATAGGCAAATAGCTCATGCATTTATAACGACCTACCAATCTCAACCACCTCCCAAATTTATTTCACTCCCAGGGGAGATCAGTTTGTCTACAGACCATTTTGTTCCACCACTGCACAGTACTAACTAGCTAGCTAAAACCTCAATGTCAAACTCCTACTAATAAATGCTCGTAAATAACCGTTACATGTCACAGTAACCTCCTTTCCTCCGAACGAACGCAGAGAGCGGCAGCTTCCTTCCCTCTTAAATTAGCTTCTACATATCGTCCCTTGGTGTTTTATTTAACTGAGAAGTAGAGCATTTGGTGATCTCTAGCTATGGCCGTTCCTCCTTCCGCCTCCCGCACATCTTCTTCTCCTCTCCCTTCTCCTCCCCATTTCGCCCCCGTAAGCCCTCTCCCTCGTATCCGGTTCACACTTTAATTAAACAAAACTAATCACTAACCTTGTTGCAGATCCAAGAAGAAGAAACAGAACAAGAAGAGCCGGAGCCGGAGCCGGAGCCGGAGCCCGAGAAGAGCACCGCCGCCACATACCATCACCAACCCACACCTCTCCACCCTCCTACCAAATCCTCCCGCCGCGAAGACCTCTCAGTTTCCTGCAGCAAGTGCCGCCCCTCCTCTCGCGACAAGATCACCGTCGTCCCGCTTGACCCCAACGGCCAAAAACGCCCCTCCTCTGTTCCTGGTTCGACTCCCAACAGCCTACTCCGATCCCTCTTTAGCGCGTTAGCACGCAAAACCCCTCCCCACGCAACATCCACTCCTTTTTCTTCCTCCGAAGCCCAAGACAACAGCGAGTGGAAGCTCACGGCGGCGGACCTCTCCCGCAAACTCCTCCAGGTCACCCGCAAGCGCGACGAGGCTCTCCTCGAAGCCTCCCGGCTCAAATACTCCGTCTCCGAGCTCGAGCGCAAGCTGAACCGGTTGGAATCTTATTGCCGCGATCTCCAGGCCTCACTCGACCGCAGCGCAACCGGCCCAACCTCGGCTACTGTCGAGCAGTTCCTTCTCGCCGTAAATGAATCCCGAACTGCCGTCCGTCACTTGAGCCGGTGTTTGATAACCCAGCTCCGAGCCGCGCCGCGGTCTATGGACCGGCTTGGGTCTCTTCTCCATTCCCACGGTTTGGTTAAAACGAACCCGGGGAGCTTGATCATGGGGTTGGAGTCGGTTCTAAACCGGGTTTTCTACTCCGATTTCGAGCGGGTGGGGGAGGGCGAGGGGATGCTGGCGGACCCTGCGGACCGGTGCAAGGCGAACTTGGCCGCTTATGAGGCTGTCCGTGGACTGTGCTGGGAGGATGTATTGAGTAAGGGGACGCGGCATTACAGTGCGGGTCTGAGCCGGTTCTGCGACCGGCGGATGAGCGAGGTGGTGGGGATGCTGGGCTGGGCTCGAGCCTGGCCGGAAGGCCTTCTGCAGGCCTTTTTCGGGGCGGCCCGGGGGGTTTGGGCGGTTCATCTGCTGGCCCGGTCGGTGCACCCGGCTCTGCCTATCCTCCGGATAGATCGGGGAGCCCGGTTTGATCCGGTTTACATGGAGGACTCGACCGGGGAGAAACCGACGGCGGGCGAGGTGATTATGATGGTGGCCCCGGGGTTCTACGTACACGGTGCGACTTGCAATGTGGTGAAGTGTAGGGTGCTGATGGTGTCGGGGGAAAAGAGTGAACGTAGCGGTGGGGGTCAAAAGAATGAGAGGGTTTAATTTGCAAATTTCAGAATTTTGAACTGTGGACAGCATTCGGATTTAATAATATTAGTTGGTTTTATGTGTATGAGCTTTGTACGTTAGATAATTTGTCCGAGAGAAGAAATTAAAATTTTACATACGTATTAATTAAGAATAATATGACAATTTATAAATTTATATTTAGCCGAGTTAGATTGATTAAGTCAATTATTAAATTTTAATAGGTTCTATAATTAGGTGATTATGATTTATCAATTTTGTTTAAGTTTAGAAGTACTACAAAGTCTTGAGTCTTCTAGTATTCTTATTAGTAGACAACTAAGTCTTAATTAAGTGCGAAGATTATTAAGTATTATTTCGGCATGAGAATACATATTTTGAAATCCTCTAAGAGATTTCAAACTCATAGGCCTTATAAGACCTTCCTCAAAAATCTCAACTACTAATCATAAGTACGCAACCCTATTAGCATTGAGATAGGGTTCTCCCTAAAATTTATTGAGATTTCTCATCTAGAGAATTTGCCAAGATTCAAGGGCGACTCACCCTTAATTCTGGGCCTTGTTGATAGGCCCAGGTTACTAGTTACAAGAGTGTCTATCTTGAGGCATCCATATGTTGGGGATGATGGGACTAAACACCACAATTACGAAAAAAACATAAAAATAAAAGCAGCGGAAAAATAAGGACATCGGAATTTAATGTGAAAAATCTCAAAATAGGGAAAAAAATTTCACAGAGCTACACCACACAAAAAAATCTACAATGAAAATTGAGAGAAATAAGTACATATATCTCTTCTCTCTCTCTCTCTCTCTTTGCTTCTCTCTCACATGCACAATTCTCAATATATACTCATACAAAATACAAAAGAAAGCTAGGTAAAATAACCCAAGGGATGCAACCCTTCAAAAAAGCGAAAAAGAAACCCCTCAAATCCGTCTCGCATCGCTAGTTTGGGGCGCTACAGCGCTAGTTTGGGGCGCTGCAACGCTGAAACCTCTATCTTGAACCGCTGCAGCATCGTATTTATACCGCAATGGCACTTTGCCCTCTGTCGTTCAACGCCAGGGTAATCGAGAACACAACACTGGGGCACTTGGTAACGTAGCGTCAGGGTGTTGTACATAAAAAATTTTAAGATGAGGGTACCCCCCACACCCCCCTCCCCCCAAAGCGTACATGACAAGCTTTGAGGTCCGAGAAAACATAATAACCAAATTGATCAACACATTCAGATTCCACACACAATAATTTCCTACTTATAACTGATTGCAATCAATCCTTCTCCTAGTCTGTAACATCAATCATAGTACTGGTAGTGTGGCTCAATCGTTCTCTCATCATTCTTGAAGACCAATTGAAGCTACACATATTTTCAGTTTATCAGTTGTCACTGTCTTCATCAGCATGTCTGCATGATTCTTGTTCATGTGTATCTTTTTCAAAGATAGCGGACCAACTTCCAAAACCGATCTGATGAAATGATACTGAAGCTGGATGTGGTTTGTCCTGGCATGAAATGCAACATTCTTTGCTAGATCTATAACACTCATACTATCACTATATAACTTATCATTCCTTTTCCCCTTGCCAAGTTTTGTCAAGAAACTTTGCAACCAAATCATCTCCTTGCTAACCTCAGTGATAGCAATATACTCTGCTTCTATGGTAGAGAGCGCAACAATCTTCTGTAGCTTGGAAACCCAATTGCTACAGTCTTTCCCAAAATGAAGATATAACTTGTTGTGATCCTCCTACCATCAAGGTCTCCAACAAGATCAAAATTTACATAACCATGTAGATCAATCCCTTCACCACCAAAGCAAAGAGCTTTGTTAACTGATCCTCTCAAATATCTGAGAATCCATATAACCACCTTCTTATGAAGTTTGCCCAGGTTACTCATAAATCTGCTGACAACTCCCACTACATATGCTATATCAGATCTTATGCAGATCATAACATACATCAAACTTCTAATTGCTGAAGCATATGGAGTATTCTTCATTTGCTCTTCCTCGACTTCAAGCTTAGGCGATTATTCCTTGGATAACTAAAAGTGACTATCCAAGAAAGTGCAAACTAGCTTTGTCTTACTCATGTTGAATATCTAAGACACTTTTTCAACATACTCTGCCTGAGACAACTTCAGTATACCTGCATTTCTATCTCAACTGAGTCATAGTTGTCATCATTTGTGCCAGTGCATCAGGGTTAACATTAACATTAGGCCTGGTCTTTCCACTTCCTCTACTTCATCCTCTTCTTCAGGATCATTTTGGTTCCTATTATCAGTAAGATAATTTATTCTACATTAAATCTTTCAATCATTTATAATCATCATAATGGTTCTTTCAGTATAATTCAAATCTTAATTGGGCTTTGATACCACTTTTGTCACGACCAAGCCCGAATGCTCGATTTAACGAGGCGGAAACTGAAAGTGGGACGGAAGGATCTAATGATTTCAGTTCATAATAAAAAGATATTAAAACATCAAATTCTCTTTTCTTTTATCCGAAGTAACACTTATATCAAATCCTAAATTATCTATTATCAGTTGCATGTCGTCTACTATAAACGAGCTCTTCTCTTTCTATTTTTTTTAAATCTTTGGAGACTTACCTGAAATAGTTAATTAGTGGAATGAATTTACGAAGTAAACTCAGTAGGTAACTGGTAAAACAATTAACATGAAAATAATATATATATTACATATAACCTTTAATATACTTTTTATTACTTTTCCTTTCTTTATCTTTATTTCATTCATTTCAATCAATTATGCATATCATATTACAGTTCTTAATAACCTTTAATTATAGAGCTTTAATATTTATTCATTTTTCTCTTTCATTTGTACATGAGTATCGTCTAAATGTATCAAAAGTATAACCATTTACATTTTCCTTTTTTCCTTTTTCATAACATTTTTTTTTTTACGTGCAAGAGTACAGCGTCCCTAACCATTACTATAAGAAGGTGAACTCCTATGGTTTGCATTCATATCCTATTTCCTTTTATTTTCATTTTCTTTTAATCTCTTTCATTTACTTTTATATCATTCATTCTTATATCTAATTTTGATGTACATATTTGTATCAATAAATATATAAAAGCTTTATATCCTTATGTGATATTTTTCTTGTATGCATTTTCTTTTCATACACATTCTATATTTTATAAGTAATATTAATAAAAATTATTCATGAGTCTTAAATATTTATGTAACATTATCCTTCTAAAATTTTATAGAAAAGAATACAATAAAAAAAATTCTAAAAATACCCACTTTGATTCTTCTCTTCCAATATTTGTCTAGTATTGAAACACTTCTAACTGTTCACAATAACATAATAACTAATTAGTATTAAATTCAAATTTGAATGTCTCAATAATATTTGATTTCTTCTATAACATTACCTCACAATAGTTTTCTTTTTCTTCTCTATTGAACCATTGTCGATGCTTACATTAATTGAATCCGTCCTATAATGATGATTTCTTCAATTAGAAAAATAAGACCATAAATTCATATCTAAATCAAACTCAATTAATAGTTCACTTACTTTTCCTTAAGAAGGAATTTCCTAAGTCTAATTACTTCTTCTTTCTTCTCTCCCAAATTCCTTCCCATTGCCTTCAATTCCTTCCTTTTCCTTTATGAAAAATATCTCTAGGTTTAGATGAAATAAACCAAGATAATTTATATGAAAAAGGAAAGAAAAAAATTTAATAAAACTCCTTCCTCTCGTCGTCCTCTCGTTCGTTGAAAATTCTTCTAAATTTAGCACTTCCTTATTGATAGGAATGAAAAGGAATGGTTTAATCTTATCTCCAAACACGATGGATGACTAAAAATGACGAACTGAAATCTCCAAAACCTCCCTCGCGTGTGTTCGCTGCCGCCCAGACATCCGCCCATTTTTCTTGTTCTTGAAACATGGCTGTTGTAGGGTCGTGGTTTTTATTAGAGGCTGGCCGGTTCAACACCTTAAACCGGATATTACAATACACATATTAGTTATAACATAAACCAAACACATGAACATCAACTAGAAGAACATTACATCTCCTTAGAAGGGTTGTTAACAACAATTTCTATCAAATATCCTTTAAAATATCTAGGATAGTAAATGTTCTACGCTTGTTTTTTGATGTACTTATGATAGAACTTATAGATTTTGCAGCATCCATGAGATCCTCAACAAGATTTAGAAAAAGTTCTCGAGTCCCCGACTTAGGAGTTCTAACTCTTTTCCTTCTACGTAAGAATGTGGCACTTTGTTGTGTTCTTTGTGAATTATAGTTGCCTGTAGGCTCATTTGTAGGAACATGTAAAAGATTTGTTTGTTCATCTTGAGTATAGTCTTCTTCATATGAGATTGTGTGATCATCATTTAGTTCTGGGGGAAGTACACTAGAATTAGGAATCCAAACATTCTCCCCAGTTGCAACAATACGACGGAACATAATATATAACTTCTCTTCCAACTCTGGTGGTATTCTATTGTAGCAAAACTTCTTTGCATTTGACATAACCTAAAATACAACAAATGATTAATTATGAATAATGTGTTATATTATGTACGAGTAGGTTTGAATTTAGAATATAAAGTGAATGATTTCAAATTTGAGAGGTATCTGCAATTTTTTATTCCACCAATCATTAGAAGCATCAACTATTTTTTTTTATTGGATTCCAGCCAATATCAGTTTAGCCTTGCAACAAATCTTTCCATAGCTTCCAGTCCTTCTTTAATTGGTCCCACTTATTTATAAGTTGGGTTCAGTCGTAAGATCTTCCAAAGTGTTTGTTGAAATGTTTAATTAGATTTTTTCAACCTTCCTTAGAAAAATACATAGTTGGTCTATTTCCCAATTCTATTTCTCTTATACAGATATCACAATAAATTAAAGTAGTATCTATGTCTCACGTTACAGGTGCATATTCTTCTTTTTGGTTTCTCATGTTGAGCTATAAAAAAAAGTAATAGTAAGATGCTAGTATTATTTAGTGTGTATAAGCTTGCCTTAATTGGCCTAAATGTTAGAAAAAATAAGTAAATAACATTAGTTTGTTTTAAAACGAAGAGACAGCTCATTTTTAAATCTCAAGTTCAAGTAGATATAACACCTAAAATTTTCAAAGTTTATTTCCTAATTCAAATAGTTTATAACCTTGCTCATGAGTTACATAGGTGAGTTTCCAGTATCATTAACCTGAGTAATGTTATATAAATAGTGTTTTTTTTTTTTGGATTTCATTATGTTTGCGTCATCTTTACAAGGAGTGACTTGTTATCTTGACAATCAAGTTAAGGCAGTCTTAAAGTATGGTAAGTTGACTGCTTTGTTGATTGATTGTACTCATGAATTTTTAGGATATAAATGTGGAGGTGACGAATCAGAATAAGTTAGGTTTAACCGATTGAAAGAGGAAGAATAATCAGTCTGGAGGAGGGTAAGGGATGGTGAGGGACGGTAGGAGGCTAGGCCTACAGTGCTCGGACGGGGCCGGGACTGCTTGCCTGAATAGATCGGCAGCAGGATACTTGGCGGCTGTCGTCGTCGGCCTGGAGAAATGGAGAGGGATTGAGCTCTAGCATGCGAAGTACAACCGAAGTGGGAGTCTTCCGGATGGAGCGAATCAGAAGAAATGAAGTAATTAGTCGTGCAGCTTGTTGAAGAAGACGAAGGTCGCGAACGTGGCTGGGTTAATTTGGACTTTCACCTACTAAAACTCCAATTCGTGAAGGAATAAGCAAAAATGTAAAGGATTTCATAACTGACGAAAAAACAAAGTTTAGCAAAAAATAATTACGCTTAACTTGTGTTTCCAAACAGGCGGATGTAACAGCTTTCAGTTTATTCAGATGGAGAACTGAGAAAAAAAGCCTAATCAAACGAGGCCTGATACTCAAATTAGTTGTTTTTAAACCAAAAGCTGGTTTTATATGCAACATATGTGAATATTTATAAACACTTATTAGTTCCCAATCGACTGTCCCTCACAATTCTAATTTAAATCCAAAATTTGAATTGCTGCACATGTTGGATCAAAATAATTGCAAAGCAAAAAACACTGACACATAAGTTTATGTTTTCTAAAATAAAATTCACCGCTGCAAAAGTCACAGTTGAAGTTAGTAGAATTCTAACCATGAAGGGTCAAAATAATTCCAATATTAAATAGCAGAAATCCAACCAAGAATGGTTTTTCCTCGCAATTAAAGGACCCAAATAAGGAATTGGGGAATTCAAATCAAGAAAAATATAAGGACCTACATAAAGCATGCCACAAATCAGAAATTTTATTGCAATGAAACCCGCAACTTAGAATAGACCGAATTAAAATAATCTAACAACCTAAAAGAAAAAGTAAAGAAACTAAACCTAGAGAACACATCCCATTCTCATAAACCATAAGCTCCTAATAAATAAAAATTATAAATTAATTACCAAATAATAAAACTAAATAAAATTTTGCTCAAAATATTTATTTATTTGCTTGATATTTGTTGAGTGCAAACATGAAGATCATAGCTCCAAAGAACTCAACTTGGACAAATTCTGCTACAAAGTAATCCATGGTCTTCACAAACAGATTTGTCACAATTATCAGCAAGTTATCTCTAAAATCCATAATCAACAGTGGACACATACTCATACACAAAATATCTTCAATAATAAATTATACTTAATTATTTGGTAGAATATTTGATGCGGATTTACAAAAAGATGGAAAAAGAGAATAATCTAAAAAATTAACAACAGATTCATGAAATAAGATTAAACTAAATAATTGAAATTTGTATTAATGGTATATTAGTTCCAATATACTGCAGGATTTTAAGTAATCCTACATTTCTCGCATTAGTTTCTTAAATGTTCCTGATGGAAGCCTCCTAGAGCTTAAATGCATCATAATCATTTTTCTTTAAATTTCACATACATTTTGTTCACAGAAGTACAAAGCTTGTATTTTGGCATAGTAACCAATCTTGTTCTTATAAGTAGAAAGCTTGTATTGGGCATAGTAGCCAATTTCTATGAATATCCATACGACAATCATACATGTATTGTGTTAATGATTGTGCAAATGCATCAAGCTTAAACTTAATAAGAGGCTCAAGAAGATCTATGGATATTTTAAGTTAAAACCTTATGATAATCTTAAATGGACCGATGGAAATAGACATAGTGACAAAAGAAGTCCATACAAACTCAGTCATAAGTAATATCAAATCACTCAAATGCATAAACTTTTCTCAAATGTAATATAACTCTCAAGCAACAACTTCAATTTGTCTGTTAGTTTGTGGATGATAAGTAGTTAAAAATTAAATTTATTTTTTCATCTTTTCCAGTGTTTTCTACAATCATAAAATCTCTCAAAGGTGAATTAAGGATGCAAATACAAGTACCCTTAAATAAATAATTATCTTTGAGCAATATAATGATTTTTAAGCATAGATGAGTTATTATTTAAGTTTTGATAAATCTTACTAAATCCTTATAAGTAAGACATTCCTACTTAATATGATTAAAATCAATCACCTTAATTTGTATTACATTTAAAATGACAGTGGCTTTACTAAGAGAATTAGCAATTTTGTTCTGTGTTCTATAACAATGTTATAGACAAATGAATATCCATGAAAAAATTGATGATCAAAATTAAAAAAAAAACAAACTCTAAAGGCAACAAATGATGCCCTTAATAATGAAAAGCTTGAGAACTCTCAATCATAGTGCGAATACTTTTATTTAGCTTCATTCAAATCTTAAAAAGGTAATGAGACGTCCTTAACTTCACACTTCTCCAATACCTAAAACAAACACATCACAAAAAACTTCAAGGCTTATTAAAACCAAGCAACTTAAGCATAACTGTATTTGTAAACATTTACTTAATCTTAGCAAAGCACAATCATTAGACATAGTACATTTAAGCTCCATTTTTTAGATAGTAATTGGAGCAATGAAAATGCAAAATCTCTTGATGAATTGTCTATAATGAGTAATCAAACCATTAAAAAAAATAGCACTATTCTGGTAGGTTTTGGCCAATCATACTTGTTAGCCTTATCAGAATCAATAGAAATTCAATCAACTTAAATAAAAATCATGATATAGAAGATATTCAAAGATGCTAGAAAGTTTGACAGTAGGACACTGAAGGAAATCAAATTTGCAAATAGTATATAGCTTGTCATGTTCCCTAAATTTCATCAAGAAAGTAACTCCTTCCATACCTTCAAAGCATGTCAAGGCCAACAAATTAGAAACAGTGCACGCCATCTAACCCATTCCACCCAGTTATGTAAGAAATCCATCTCGCATTCATTTTTATTTCACACCGATTATTCTTCTTCCTTATTTTTCCTCAAAATGTTGTGATACAACATATTCTTGAGCTTTGTGCTTGCTCTCATTAAAAGTTCCATTCCCTTTTATTAAATGATGCGCAAAAATATTCATTACTATATTATAATTAACGCAAACATGGAGTGATAATGCGTCCTTAGTATGCTTGGTCATTTCAAGTTTGATTATGTTAAATATATTGCATCCATATTGGTACCCCGTTTTTAAAAGATAGAAATAATATTAAAGAAGAAAACATCATAAAGGACATGGAGAATATTCTTTTTACCTGTAACAAGACCTCTTGACTAGGATGCAATGGAGAACGCACAAACACAACTCTAGCAATGTTATGACGGCCAAAAAACACATCAGGCTTTCTTAACCGTTGAAATGCTGCCATGGCATCTGAGTTGGAACTAAATTCATGGAAAGCAAAAACCTTTATTTTTCCCTCACTCTTCAGATCTTCAGGTAAAATCAGGCACTCCATCTGTTGAACTCCAAAGCTTTTTAACGTTGCAAGCATCTGGAAGAACAAGACTCTTTGAACAACCAATCTTTACTAATGTTGCATCTGAATAGATTAAATAGTTTTAAAACTATTTTGCTTACAATTATGCATTCATCATTTTGTAACAGAAAATAACTCTACATAGCATATCCTTGAACAAGTGCTTCTATATATAATGTAAAAAGCTGATTAAAACAGTAGAGATTGTCATACTAGGTCCCTAGTCCAAGCCTTGGTGATGTTACCCAGGTAAGTGTATCTGTATCTGACTGGCTTGTACCCTAACACGTTTTCCATTCACCTGAACAGCATATTAGAGAATAAGTTATAGAAAAACTAACTATTATTTTTGAGAAAAAAATAAGAGTCTGAAACCTTTAGCATAAACCACCTCTATACCCTCCTTGAGCTCAGTCAAAGTCTTTATGGCATGATCATTGGATGATCATTGGATGAAAATCCAATAAAGGCAAATCCTTTGCTTTTATTTGTTGTTGGGTGCTTAAATATCCTTACAGATTGGTTGTCTCCAAATGCCTTAAAGACTTCAACCAAATCATCCTCAACTGCTCCCTTATCCAAGCCACCAATAAATATCTCGGATTCTTTTCTTTCTGTCCCCTCCACTAGTACAGCTTGCATATAAAACTCTTGATCGCTTTCCTCATTCTCCTCATTTTCATCATTAGCATCATTAGTACTATCATGATCAAAAGAGACACCTTTGCCAAAGTGATAGGAAGTACTTGAGTACGCAAGTAACCCTAAGGGGAATACTTGAGTTCGCAAGCAAACCTAACAATAATTGGTGAAAAACCGTGGGAAAAACTGCTTATTACAGCAGAAAACAGCAAGCTATAGCAGGTTTCTTGGGAAAAACGGAGAGAAACAACGATGAATTCCACTGGTAGATGCAAGAAAACAGCAAACAATACAAGTTTATTCAATTCGAGAAGAAGAAATAGCCCTCCAAATCTCTAGCCAAACCTAGAGCCCAAAGGGACAAACCCTAGATCTCAAATTTGATTTCAAACTCAAGATAAAAACTAACCCTAACAATAGAGACTAATTAAAGCAAAAAGAGGACAATTACAAAATCCCTAAACAACCATTCATTCAAATTTTACTCCCAAGAAAAACTTAATTAAGAAGTAGGTCCCATAGCTCCAGCCGCACCCTCTCTCTTCTCCGTGTTCACGCGTGCTTGGCTCCGCGGGCGTTCGGCCAACTACTCGACCGACCACGCCTCACGCGTAGTACACACCCATGCAATCAATCCATATGCTCGGCTCCTCCTTCGCGTACCAGCAGCGTCCAAGCGGCACCTCTTCTCCCCTTTCTTGGATAGAACACCTTCCTCCTCATCAATAGCCTCCACCAGGCTCTAATACCATTTGTTAGAAAATTGTGAGGAATTCTTGAGCTCTTCTTAAGCACTTCTTGAGAGAGAGAGAGATGACAGATATTTGAGGAGGAGGAAAATCTATCCTAAAGCTTTATTAAAATTTTTTCCATCTAATACATCATATATAATCTCTATTTATAAATATTTATATGGATAAGATGTCAATGCGGATCAACCAACTTAAATCCTAAATTAATACTCAACAATCTTCACCTTGATCCAGATTTTACCATAAAAAAAAATCATGTGCACTTATTGCGATCTAACTGACTTCTTGCACTAACTCCACGCGCAATCCGGTCGAACTGAGCTCAATCCCGCTCACGAATAAACTCCACCGTGGGTTCCAAACCACGACTCCAGCTCACGCTCCATCACCGACTCGTCAGTTTTCCTCGAATACTCATAAATGATCCGTCTTCTCTCCCCAAAATGCGGATATCAACTTCACCATCAAACAAGTTGAATATCTCTTGCATGACAACTTCCGATATCACCGTGACCTCATCTTCAGCATCAGCAGGATTCTCTGAAATGGTATCCCAAATGTCAATCTACTTCTTCTTGGTCGGGGCCTCATCTTTCGCACGAAAAATTGCACCAGAATCCTGCAGCCCATCCTCTAACGCTCCGTGTTCATGCGTTCTTGGCTCCGCGAGCATTCGGCTAGCTACTCCTCGACCGACCACGCCTCACGCACAGTACACACCCATGCAATCGATCCAGGCCTGACTCCTTCCTCGCATACCAGCAACGTCAAAACAACACCTCTTCTCCCCTTTCTTGGACAGAACACCTTCCTCCTCGTCAATAGCCTCCACCAGGCTCTGATACCATTTGTTAGAAAATTGTGAGGAATCCTTGAGCTCTTCTTGAGCACTTCTTGCACAAGAGAGAGAGGGAGAGGGAGGAGAGATGATAGATATTTGAGGAGGAAAATCTATCCTAAAGTTTTATTAAAATTTTCCCCATCTAATACATCATATATGATATTTATTTATTGATATTTACATAGATAAGAAGTTAATGCGGATCAACCTAACCTAAAACTTGGACCAATACACAACAGGTTCCATACATCAAACCTCTCCTCAAACACTAGATCAGCTGGAGCTACATGTAGGACACAAAAAATATCACTTTCAAGAAAGTAATAAAACATCAAGGAATAAATGCTAGAACACCTATGGCATACATGAATTTCCATCAACCCATCACTAAACAAAAATAAATATGTGTGCGATATTCAATTGAAATTTTAACAGCAAAAGAGACCTTCCTAAGTACTTGCCAGCCTTTAGAACGCAACTGACTCAAAGAAGGTAGCAGCTCACGATTTTGTGCCTTGACTTATGACAGATGGAATAGCTTTAGCAAGATAAGCACTAATAATTAACCTCAGCATCCATGGCATTCAACTTATGTAAGACTCTTATCCACCAAGCAAATCTCCACAAAATCCCGTTCATCCAATTCAGCCAATTCTATCAAAGTCCAAAATCAAACTTCCTACATTTATCCCTTCAATTATAACTTGAAAGATGATGCAGTATAGTTAATCAAATGAACTCTTCTAAGAGAATAGAGAATACTTAACCTGAAGACCAAAACAAACTATTGAGTTGGCAAAAAACTGACAATAAGCATGAATTTTTAAATTGCCACATGGTATGATAACCTTCCCCTCCTGCGCTTTACTTTCATTTCATATTTGCGGCTCCCTGAACATATTTGGAAGGCATTTTATGATACAGATGAACAAAACAAGCCATGCCTAACAAAATATCAACCCTAAAATAAGAAAATCATCTCCCACAGATACAATTCTATTGGCCGACCACAATTCTATTAGAGAAATTGTTTTGTTGTGCAAGAGTTTCATGGTATATAATTATTGTCAATGGACAAAAGTGACACACAATATGCTTTGATTGAAATAGTTACCGATTAAATAATGCGCCTTCAATGGAAGAGAACAAGCATTCCTATGCAAATATATTTCCCTAGCCTGTGCCAGCAATGGTAGAGTTTAACCCACTATTGAAGGCATACCTTCATCCATATTCATCTTGTCTCCAGCTCCACGGGAGAATGTATCCTCAAATTGTGACACCGATAAAAGTTTTGATTCCTGGGTCATCTCATCAATCCCCAGCTCCTTACTGAAGGGGTTAACTGGCTTTGGCGTAGCTTCCTCCTTAAGCTTAATGGGATTTTTATCTTCCAAGATCTTTTCCTTGATGACTACGATGCCCCCCTTAACCAAAGAAAAGGACAAATAATCCTTCTTGAAAGTACCGCATTTTCCAACTCGAAGCCAGCGGGTCCATTTGGAGTAGTCTTCTTCACAACTGGTACTTTCCCGATCCCTTCTTTTACATTACCCTCCAAAATTACCATGGCCGTGACCGATGCCGATCCGAATTCCTCCATACGGTATTCTCTTCTTCGATTGTATCGTGAGGTAGAGGATCCTCTCCTCCTACGACATCATTCTCCATGGCAGAATCGTAATGGGCTTCTATCTCTGAGACCTGATCTCTGACACTCAGGGGTTGTTTGGTATTGAATTGGATTTAATTTAGTGAGATTTAGTAAATCCTGAGGTTGTTAAATCATGAAAATTGTTTGGTATTACAAATGTTAAATCTTGAGACAATGTTTGGCAATAGACTCTAGGATTTAAAGCAATTGGAGATTGAAATATGAAGTAATAATACTTAATTACATCAATACGCTAGTTATGAATTTGAAATAATTGTATTCCACATAATAAATCAAACATGACATCATACAACAGAAACTAGCAGAAGCATAAAGAGTACATGACACCATGATAGACTAATATTTATTTAGACACCGATAAACTACTACATGATAGTACACTTCAACATGATAAAGAAGTTGATATATCTTGTATTGGAGAATAACTTTCTCATAACGATTGATTTCTTTGGCAACTTATCTGAAATCCAAAAAACATAAAATTACTATAAAATGTATTTAAAGTTGAAATATTGTGAATGCATAGATTAATGATTACTCGAGCGTTCCAAAACTCTGTTGCGATGTCATGTCGTATCGCTTCTCCCTGAATTCTTTCTCCTATTGTCGTATGCAAGTTAGGATCCTCATAAGACATTTCAACTTCGCCACGTTCATTATCATGCTCCATTTCCGTCTGCGACATATTGAAATACATATCATATCCATGATATCAACCTATGTAGTTGTGCATAACTGCACATGCAATAACCAGATCAACTTGAATAATCAGAGAAAATTGTCTCATGTGCGTCAACACTTAAAAGCGTTCTTTCCAAATTCCAAAATTCCTCTCTACCACATTGCGTGATTGGACATGCGGTGGTTAAATAACTCTTGTTGAACGCATATCTTCTTGTTGTTCGATTATGCTAGTCAACCAACTAATATTGATATACTGAAAATGGTGCAATCAACTTATCAGTGTTTGCATAACCAGAATTAACCAAGTAATAATGATTGCGAGGCACTCCAAACTGACCTTGCTCGACAGCCCATCTAAGCACGCGCATATCAGCAGCAGAACCTTCCCACCCAGATGTCATATACACAAATTATCAATCAAATGACAATGCAGCCATTACGTTCTGTGAAGTGAAGCCCTTATGGTTACAATAAGGATTTTGTAAGTTGTTATTGACTACGACAGGAATATGTGTTCCGTTAATTGCACCAACTACGTTCATGAAGTAAGGGTAAAACAGTACATTCGAACACACAAATGGATAACATTCTGCTTCTGCTAGGGGTAAATTTATGAATTCATCTGCAAAGGATACAAGAGCACACATAACTATATTGAAGTACCTGCTAACTGTTTTCAATGAATGTTGGAAGAACTCACACAATTGGAGATAACTATGAGCATGCGCTACTCCCCACAAAAATATACCTAGTTGCTCAGCTACGAGCATATTTTTGGTATCACGCAGATGTTTACGGCTAACTAATAGTTCTCTCAAGCTCACGAAGGCATCTGGAAGAAACCCGAAACATTGATATGCTCTTTCTGGATGGCTAGCAAGCACATCCAATACATATTGATGTCCCTTGTATGTTCTATCAAACATAGGCCGCCTTATTGATAGTTCATCATCTGAGGAAGAATTTTATTGAAGAATGGATGGAGTTATTTTGGCAATGGCATCATGAACTTGAACTTGTAAGTGAATCATATCTCATACCACATCTGGTAATAATCCACGCAAATAATTCGACATAATTGCATAAATAAAGATAACTAATTCATTAATAAACTAAATAATATTTAGAACAGAACTTGCAATATTAAAACACAATTTAATTTCAAATTAAATTCTATTGCAGTGATACATGAAGTTAAAATGGGAAGACCTCAACGAACATAAAGTAAACATGAACCTATATAAAGCAAAAAGCTAACGTTCACAACACACTAACATCAAGTAAACTTGCACCACTAAACTGCTAAATGCTAATAGGACACCTACAACCAAACTTTTGAAGCGTAAAAATGTGGGTGTGAGCTAACAATATATTCTATCCATTTTGCAAGTAATTCTCCCTCCCAAGTCATGAATATTGTTTTGTTATCATTGTTTTTCTTAAGCGCGTCTTGTACAACTAATAGAGCTTGTGTTGTCAGGTTCTCTAGTTGGCCTAACTTGGCCAGACAATCTGTCATGGTCCAAGGCTCATTGCGTTGAATAATTTCTTTAAAAACAACTGCATTTTTGTTCGACTCAACCAATAACCGATTCAAGTTATCCAAGTCCCCCTTCTCCTTGGGATGTCTAGTTGATCTGGGTGGTTCTTCGCTAGATCTTCTTGAATGTAGCATAGAACTTTCATCTACATCTTCACTTGGTGCACCATCTAAAGCCTCAGGTAGATTGCTATTGGAGGTTCCTTCCATATCGTAGCTCACACCATTAGCAGCCATGAACTCGTCTTCGAAATGTGGAGTTTCATCTTCGTCTAGGTTTACCGTTGGTTGTGTTACCTTACTTGATCTTGCACATGTACCAATTGCAATGTTCTCTGCATAGATCTTTTCAAAAATTTTGTATTGATGAAAGGGATGTCTTCGAAATCGAGATAGCTTTGGGTTAACCTACATTTAGAAAATTTAACTAAATTAGGGATACGATTTTATAATTTGCGTGCATAACTAAATAGCAAAAAATAATACCTGAACAATTTCGTCCCATAACTCATTCGATGCTACTAGAATGTATAGATCATCATCCCAACCCCAACCACTACAGTTTTTCAATTGATAAAGTATTTTGAAGTCAGCTTTCATGCTTTTAAATCGTATCATTACGGAAGATTCTATGTAGTTTGATCCTAGACGCTGATTTAATGCAGCCACTAAGCTTGACCATTGTTCCTTCTGCAAATTCCCATTACAGAAATTCCCATTTACATATTGCTCCAACAGTAGCTCGCCTAGTACGACGTTATGATCTTCTGGCCACTTAGGATTTCGATTTGTGCTTTTGGGTTGGCCGGAGTGAATGGATATGTCATCACCCGAACGATGTGGGGCACTAGAGCTTGCACGTGCAAAACCTTTTCCTTTTAGAAATTTCTGCATTTCTGTCAAACATTAAGAAGACAATCAATTCTATGAAGTTTCAAATCTATCCAACCGAGCATTAAAATTTTTTATTTTCTTTTAAGAAGTTTTACCAGTTTTATGCAGGTAGATAGTGTTTGATGACTTGTTGTCGCTCACACATTCTGCATGCATATCGACGAAACCTAAATGTGTATTACAAAAGCATTCATTTATTTGTGCGGCGACATGACATGGTATCAAGAAAACACTCAATTGACCACACAATTAATTCCTTTTTTTTCTATCAAATTTTCAATCATCCGAATACAACTCAAAAAAAAAAAAAAAAAAAAAAAAAAAAAAAAAAAAAAACCCAATGCTATAGAGCACAGAGGCTCATACCTAATGTTATCCAATATGAATAACTAACCCAACAAATTAGTTTAAATAACACACAATATCACCAAAAAAAAAACATTCAAATATCATACAATCCAAAAAAAACCTACCTAAATTTGTATGAAATATATCAGATCAGAAAATTATCAAACATAAGCAAATAACCGAAAATATCAAACATTAAAAAGAAATCTCTAATCTGAACATAAGCAAACTATATTTAAATATCCAATATAAGCAAACTGTATGAAAATATCAAACATAAATAATAATAATAACCGAAAATATCAAACATTCATTTCTTCGCTCTCAGCCTAGTTACAGTCGAAGCATTGTCGATGTAAGATGTAGCACTGCTATTTAACGCAAGGAGAGGACCGTCCTGTCGAGCACATGAACGAAATATACGCATGAAATTCCAGAGGCGGGGCCGAGAGATACCTGCGCGACGAAGAGAGTTAGCCGGCGGTAATGCTGCGGAAGATGCGTACCAGGTAGAGGAACACGCTGGCTGAGCAAGAATCGGAGGCGGCTAGGGCTGAGGATGAGTGCGAAGCAACTGCGCCTTCATCTACATAAAGACCTCGCGGGAACTTCGCGACACGGGCGCCGCAGGTGAGAACTCGCTCAACTTTAAATCCCGTTAAATCCGCCGAAGAATGGGATTCGGATTTACCCAGATTTACAAGGATTTATGCCGTAAATCCGTAAATTTGGGATTTACGTCGTCGTTGGATTTATAGGCACGCAAAAAACTGTTTGGCTGGATTTAGGTTAAATCCTTCTTAAATCTTATGCCAAATCCGATACCAAACAGCCCCTGGGAGTGAGTGACCTCAGTGTCCAGCATGGTCTCCCCCTTGGACATAGGCGAAGAGGGAGGGCACAAGAGAAGAATCCGATGTAGAGGACCTCGATTTTTTAGCCCCCGCAGAAAGCTTTTTGGCTGCGCCTCTATTGGCGGATCGCCGGGCCATCACACGCCGATGCGGAGCGGGGAAGCGCTCGGGCTGGACGATGGCTCTTGCCTTTGTAAGCTAATAAACGATCCAGCCTCCAACTGCGAGGATAGCATCGCAGACACTTGCAAATAGTTTGCCACATTATGTTCTAGAAATTAATATATATCGTTTTTTATTTTTTAGAAAATATGTTCAATAATTTTATTTCTATCAAAATATCTCAGCTTTATGATGTATTATTCTTTAAAGAATATAATGGTTAAAATTAATTTAAATAATATTTGAACATAATTTATATAAATTCTCATAATCATCCACCGTTGTTTAGTTTGGTTGATGGACGAGTACGATTGGGAACTCACAACCTGTGCTCGATTCCCCCTCGAGCGACACCGCTTCTTAAGTGGGGCTCAATCAAGTACAGGTCGGGAGGTTTCTGGGGTTTATGCATCTTCTAAGTTAGCCGATGATTAGTCACGCTGTCAAACGCTCTTTCGAAGATTACAACTGATGGATACCCGTTCCCAAAAAAAATCTCATAATCTGTTTCTTTCTCTCTCCCTGCCTCTTGTTCTATGAGCATTGCAAGTCATAAAATTATCAAACAACTTATGTCAATATAATTATGGTAAATTAAAGATTAATTTGGTGAGACAATTCATGTTAGAAAAGATTTGCCTTTATTTAGAACATTTTAAGAGTTGTTGAGTTATGTGCATTTAAATGAAATTTTTTGGAAGGATATAGATAACTCATATTGAGATATTGGGTCAGGGCATTGTTGATGATGAAGAATCATAGGAAAAAATTTTCAAATGTGAAGTCCTTGTTAGATCAAAACTATATTGTCCAAAAAATTTGTATACTCTTTAAATTATTATTGTATTATAGATTTTAAAATCACTTATAGTACATATACATTTTCAGATTTTTTTAATCATTTGAGTTGGTATTAAAAATGGGCAAGAGTTGAAGTCTAGACCTAAATAGAGCATTTGATTATATCAAATAAATTAGGGGTGTCAAAACAGGTCAATGGGTTGGGTTCGAGTCCAACCCGAGTTGATCAAGATTCAAATGAGTTGACACTAACCCGATCTGATTTTGCAAACGGGTCAGAATTATCAACCTAGACCCGACCCATGTGGGTTACTTGGTTGACCTGACTCGTGAGAGGTTAGAAATCACGTGCATTTGCTTGCCTGCGATCGCTACAGGAACCAGCAGCGAAATAACGGGTCCGGCCGAGTGGACCAATGGTCAACTGGGTCTCTTAACTCGTGAGACGCGGCACGACAATAGTGGCATCGAACAGGCAAGCGTATTTTCGTACTCGACAGACACTAGCGGCTAGCGACAGCATGGGCAGGATGATGGCAGTGGTGACGATAATGTATTTCAGGCCTCGACGGACGGTAGTAGTGGCATGCGATTATGTATTTCCGAACTGGACGAGACATTAGACGGTAACCGGGTCACGCAAGTGATGCGATGACGCTGACGAGACAGGTCTCGTGCGACGTTTCTGGGTCAACCTGGGTTGGGGTTTCGGGTTTCAGGGTCAACTCGAAACTGACCCGATTTATAAACGAGTCGGAATTACGAACCCCAACCATATCTGTATGGCAAACATGTTTACCAAAATCCTGAATTTTCTGGTTTTGATTTGGGTTGAGTTTCGGGTCGTGTCAGATTTAGATACCCATAAATAAACTAAATAATTACTGAAAAGTAACAATTATATATGGTTGCAAAAGAATATTCAAAGTAATATTTTTCATGCATCTTTATCAATTGAAGCATTGGATCTCATGTAGGCCAACATTTTTTGATATATTATTGGAATTACTTAGCAATGCATTTCCTAATAGTATATAACCCATGAATACATACAAAGTATTAATGAAAATAATTCATTTATGATATATGCCCCAATGACTCTTATGTTTTTTTTGGGTTGTTAAGTTTAATGCGGATGTATTTTAAGGTATGTTACCATCATGCATATAATTCAAAGATTATTTGAAATAAAATAAATTGGTAAGAAAATATTATGGTGCTAAAAAAATAGGATTGTATGCTGAGTCACTAACATTACAAGAAAATGGTTGTTTACCCGACGGCATATTTCCGACGGTATAAGTGGCATTCGAGCCGGCGGAAATTATGCCGAAAAATAAGAGGTGGAATTTCCGACGGAAAAATTGCCGTTAAATTACAAGCGGAAAAACCGCCGGAATATATGAATCAAGTGTGGAATACTAGTGAAAAATATGCTGAAGATTACCAATGGATTTTCGATGGTAATTGTCCTACAAAATCATCTGGCGGATTATCCCCAGAAATATCGACAGTACATTTCAGCCCGAAATTTCGGAAAAAAAAAACACCGAAATGTATACCAGGAGAATGACATTTCTATTTCGATTTTTCCGCCGGAGTTCCGCAGGTAAGTCTGGTGGAATAAACTTTCTGATGCGCGATTTAACGTCAGGCGAGTTTTCGTCGGAAACAAAATTTTATCGGCGGATTTTGTCCGCCAGTAACAGATGATTTTTCTTTAGTGTAAGCTAACGGACAAACTTAGGATGTTGTAATACGTGCATTCTCTAGAATTCTTTTTTAACCCTCAAAATATGAGACTTGAACTTATCAGTGTTGTGCTCATTGTAAAATTATATATGATAAACTTGGATCATGATCATGACTGTCAAGCCATCATTTTTTGACAATTGCAATATAAAACAAATTAAAGAAGTCAATTATTTTGAATCTCGAATTGCATGATGTGGTTTGTGCAGAAATAGGATATTATTGTTTTTTTTATTGATTTTATAGATATTGTGATATTATATGGAACTATATAAAATATGAAACATTATGGTTACATAAATATGTTAAAGTGTTCAAAACAACAAATTTGATTGAGATATCCATTGCATCATCTTGCACACAACTGATTCACATTGACATATGTAGCTAAGTATGTGCTTCTTTAGACGACATAACCACAACATAATATATGCATAAAACATCGTAATTATATAACATGCTATATGCATAAAATATTGTAAACATGGTTTTATAAACAATAGTTACCATCTCAAAAATATTATTTTTTAAGTTTTTCAGTAAACCTTCTCGATAACTGAATATATTTTTCTTATTTCACTTTGGTTAAGTGCAGGAAAAAAAAAAGTTAAATTGGTTCTTGAGCTTAGGGGTGTCAATTTCGGGTCACGGGTCGGGTTCGGGTCGAACCCGGAACTGACCCCGAACCCGGAACTGACCCGTGTTCAAACGGGTCGACCCTAACCCGACCCGGGTGGACAAACGGGTCGAAAATCCGAATCCGGACCCGACTCGACTGAAGCCGAGTCATTTCTCAGTTTGAGGGAAAATAGGCCAACTTGACTTGTTAACATTCACTATTTTTGGAATTATTATGGTACATTTCAAATTTGGACGTAGTTGAAATCTATAAGATAGTATGATAAGTGTAGAAACGTAATCACTGTTTCTTGCAAGAGCCCATAGAGAACAAAGTATAAAATCTTTATTAATCAATATATTAATACAGATAGATTTCCTGTCTTTATATAGAGCAGGAAGAGGAGAGAGGTAACAATAATTACAAGTATACCAATGATATTCTAGAATACGAACTTATATAAATGTGTATGTAAATACATATTCTAATATGCCCCTTCAAATTGATGGGTCGTGAATGATCGTCAATTTGAGTCTAAGCTCTTGAAACCTGGGCGTAGATAGCGATTTTGTGAAGATGTCGGCTACTTGATCTTTTGTATTGATTGGATGAAGAATGATGCGATTTTGTTGAATGTGATCGCGTACAAATTTCTGATCTATTTCAATGTGTTTCGTCCTGGAGTGAAACACAGGATTGTTGGCAAGTGCAATTGCCGACATGTTGTCACAGTATAGTTTGGTTGGATAGTTCTGAGGAATGTCAAAATCTGTAAGCAGCCTTCGGAGCCAGGTGATGTCCGAGGATAGAGCTGCTAATGCTCTATACTCGGATTCTGTAGAGGATCGAGAGACCGTCTTCTGCTTCTTTACTGTCCATGAAATAAGTGTGTCGCCCAAGAATGAGCAAAAACCGGTTGTTGATTTCCGAGTCAGAGGATCACCAGCCCAATCCGCATCTGAAAACGATTTCAAAACAAGATCAGTTTTTTTAATGGGTAAGCCAAAATGTAGAGTACCTTTTATATATCGCAAGAGGCGCTTGAGCAAATAGTAGTGTTTGGGAAGAGGTTGATGCATATTTTGAGATAAGAGATTGACACTATAATATATCGGGTCTTGTTAGTGTCAAGTACTGAAGGGCGCCTGTAATGCTTCGATACAGAGCTGAAGTTTCGGTAGAGGTGAGACGACCGAATTCGGGCGGAAGTTTTGTACATGTGGGGTTAGCCAGCGGATTACAGTCAGCCAAATTCGCCTGGGAAAGAATTTTGAGAGCGTATTTTGCCTGAGAAAGAAAATAAGAGGTATTAGTTTTAGATATTTTGATACCCAAGAATTCGCTTACAGTGCCGAGATGCTTCATAGTAAATTCGGTATCAAGTTTAGATAATATGCTGGAGATATGAGCTTGATTATTTCTGGTAATCAAGATATCATCAACGTATATAAGTAAGAAGATACTGACTTGAGCCTTTTTGTACACCAATAAGGAAGGATCAGATTGGCTGTGTTGGAAACCAATGGTCAGTAGGAAAGCAGTAAAAGTGTTATACCATTGCCTTGGAGCTTGTTTCAAGCCATATATGGCTTTGTTCAAGAGGCAAACATGGTTCGGTCGTGTGAGATCTTCGAATCCCTTGGGTTGTTTAATGTAAATAGTTTCCTCCAAGCTACCGTGCAGAAAAGCATTTGCAACGTCCAATTGGTGAACCGGCCAGTTGTGGTATAAGGCAAGTGCTAGCATGATACGAATAGTAGGTAGTTTGACTACCGGACTAAAGGTTTCTATATAATCTATACCAAATTCCTGATTGTTGCCTTGTGCGACTAGTCTTGCCTTGTATTTGGCTATAGAACCATCCGTATGAAATTTCGTACGGTAAGTCCAGC